GAATCTACACTCTAGACTCATTCCGTAAGAAATCTTAAATTTACAATATGATGTGAGTGGTACTCAAGTAATCCACACAATAAAGAGCAAACAAGTAGTCATCATTTTTGTGTGGGATCTATATAATACTCACATAAATTATTACTTGTCGCTATAATCGGGTGGAGTCCTCAATCAAATGAGCTGTAGGTGCAGTTTGAGATTTACAAGTGTTTTGATTTGACTTCATTATAATTGTATGGCAGCTAAATAAACCATTATCTTTTAAGTATAAAGTTAATAGAGAAACTAAAATTTTTTCGACTCCAATTAAATTTGTAGGCCAGTAGAATCATCTAACTTACAGTTAGCATTAATTTCTTTGTAATAAAGAAATAAAGGGACCATAAATAAAATACTGTATAATTGACATAGATTATAACACGCTCATGTTATGGTTTAATTGATTACTAGACCCAGTTCACTTTTATGTATGAGCTTTATTGTATCATATATCTTCATATATATCTAGAAATTTCATTGTATTTTTCATCTAAATAGTATTTAATTGTATTATAAAGTATGAGATATGAAAAGGAGAAATTTCTAAGTCTGTTATTGTTGTTGTTGTAGCCCGTCAACGTCTGACATGCAACAGCCACACCCAGTTCATTGTAATAAAAGACGGGCAATGTGCAAGAACTGCAGAGGTTATAAAAAGACTGAATGCAATTAGAATGGACTAGGAAAGATCATGAATCTGCAGCAGTGGTTGACTGATAGGTATTGTAACGTAGCCACAGACGCCTATGGGACCTATAAACATGTGAAAACATTTTTAACAATTAAATATTTTAACAAATCTTTGTTTTCATTGCCTGTTGAAGGAAAGCGTTCCATTAAATTTTGAGAAGTTCTTGAGATGACTTTACAAAAATATAGTTTGAAGCTTTGATATCTTTCTGATGGAAGAATGTATACTACATTTAATTTAATAGAAAGCAACTCTGCATTAGTGTGAGCATCCACAGAATCAAATAAATTTAACGTTCTGTCTTTGATGTACTAACGACTCTCGTCTTTGTGTATATCTTCATTTCTAATATTTCATGGAGCTTTTAGCATACGCCCCAGTACAGTATTTTGATACGTTTGAAGATTTCTAATGGTTGAGAGCAGCTCCAACTTTCTTAATAATAGGACATATATTTTTTTCCTCAATATTAATATTTCACCGAGAAATATAACTTCATATTATAAACCTCAGTCATTCAACCAACATAGATATCTGACATAAAGAGGCATAAAGAGGCGTCAATAGAACTATGGAGACAAATAATTTGATCTAAAAGTAATGTATGAGGTTTCTCTTCAATTATAACACATGTAATACGTTTGATAAAAAAAAAACCACTACTAACTCTTACAGAAATTAAAGGGCAGTTACTTCCAAATTTTTTACTCTACTTCTCCCGAATTCCTATGAGATCTCGTCACGATAACGGGTCAAGAATACATCCATTAGAATTACCCTCCCCTTTTGTACTTTATTCAAAGCCTTTAAGGCTTTAAGCAAATGAAAACTTAATTAGAATTCAAACTATAAATTTTTATTGTTTATTTGTGCAATTTAATAAAAATTCATCAACAAATTTATTAAATTCAATATTTTTCCCGCTTTTTTAAATAATTTAAAACAAATTAATATCAAATCTAGCGTCGTGTCGGGTATAAAAAATTTATTGTTTACAAATTTGTTGCTAAATGCCGGGCAATTTAAACTGTCAAATGTATTAACGTGAAAAAATAATAATAACAACAACAAAACAAAACATAACGTTCAGTGTAGATTTAATCTATCTGCATCAATTAATATAATTTTAAAAATAAATAAACTTAATCAAAATTTATCGTGTGAAGAGAACGTGTGAGATTGTTTTGATTTTGTATACTCAGCACATAATTAAAAATTCACCACTAAAACAAAAGTAAAAAGGAAAGTAAAAAAATTAAAATTAAATTGAAAAAATTGAAAAAGAAGACAAATTGGACCAAAGTATAGTTGAAGTGAGTTAAAAGAGCACAACTTTAGAACACTCTCACAGTCATAAGCAGAAAGCTCACGCTAAAAAGAGCACAACATATGACGTATGAAAACTTTTGTATATTCTCTCCGCTGTACGAAAAAATCGAAGTGAAATTTTTTTCAGCAGCAACGTAAAGCAGAGAAAAAATCATATACGCTACTGAAATATGTATAGTTTTTAACCGTCCATACTCTATATCTTTAAAATTTTTTACATAAATTTATTAAAGTTATTGATTTATTACTATATTGTAAACAATTAAAAGTGTATAAAATAACAATTAACACTTAACGCCCATTTTCATATACTAGATATTTTCATACACGGGCGCGCACACACATACGTTTTCTTTAAATCATTTTTCATTTAAATTTATTTTTTATAAAACGCATAAATAAATATATTTTTAATAATTTATTTACCAAAAAGTTGTTATTTTAAATCCAATCACAATATGCAATTTTATATATTTTTTTCAATTTTTAAGAACATAAGCCACAATATTTTTTGAAAATTTAATTTCTTCTACTTTGCAAAATGTAAAGGAAACATTGTGAAAAAATGTATTTTTATTTCATGTGTTTGTGTGTGTATGTGAACCTTTTCTTCTTTTTCTTTATAGCACTCGCTGACGGATTCTTAATTTAAAAAATTCTACATATAAACACCACACGTCCAAATCCGTTAAGCGCACGAAAGAAACTGAAGAAATTTTGATTCTTTGCGACGTTAGTACAAGAAACCGAATGAAAGGCTGAAATGGCAATATGTATTGTTAGAAAAGGATAATACTCTTTTTAATTGGTATATGGAAAATCTCTTGATAATTAGTACAATAGTGTTGTGTTATTTGTATGATAAAACTAAACTATGAGTGCGTATTTTGTTGAAGTTATACATCTGTTAAAAAATTAATAAATACTACAATTTTTACTGTTTAAAACTTTAAAATAATTTAAAAAATATATTTAACATTATGAAATGGACGGGTTTTTTACATGTTGAGTTTAATTAACAAGGGTAAAGTATTACATTTTTACTAAGATTGCGTTATGATATCAATATGATGAACCGATTACCTAAATTTTATTAGGGGTTACTTAAATAATACGTTAATACACATGAACGAATAATAGGGTTTAACATGTTAGATATGTTGATTTATTATATTAATTTATGTAAACTTGAAAAAACACCAAATTTTTCATTTGTAGCAACTGCTAAAAGCATTGAAGTATAGATTCTTGTACAATTGAAATTACTTACGTATATCTGAAAAAGGTGGAACCGAGTGATAAATGAAAGCAGTTTACAATATGCAATTTAATAATGAAATACAGGGTTTATAATATAAATCGCTTATTATTTTTAAAAATAATAAACTGTTATTGATTAGTATTTATTAGTGAAAAAACCTATTTTACTACGGCATTTATAAATAATTTTAGTTGGACTAATTACTAATGATTAACTACATTTAAGCAGACCTAGGAACTACACCTACAATCAATTCAGGATGTTCATTAATAAATCCAACATATTAACCAATGATTTGTTATCTACTATAAAAGTAGTTAATGATCATAGTGATGTAAAATATCAATGAACCTTCTGTGATAATATATAAGACGTGAAATAATTTATATATATACATGTCTGATGTGACAAAAGAAATGGGCGTCAAACTCTATGAATGAATCCGATAAGTCCATAAATGTTATCGATATTTATCATCATACTTTTTGCTTTTCGTACGGTCTTATTTTCTTATTTTCTAATGGTTTTTATAATTTTTATAACTGAAGCTTCTATGTGAACTAGAGCAATGATCAAAATCATATACATTAATGAAGCATAAGTAGAAAAAGTCAAAATGCTCAAATATTTACTAAATCCTAATCTCATCCAATCCAGACAGCTTATGGAACAAGTAATAGAAGGAAGGATTAGTGAGAGAATTTCATTGTTCATTGAGATTTCTTTGTTATAAACGGTACATATAAAATCGGCTTATCTCTTATAGTTTAAAGCAAATCCACTCAATGATTTTTCGAAATAATAGCTAAGAGCTATGATGGAATATTTGAAAATTTCCTTATGCTTTCGGATTTTACAATTTCTATAACTTTTCCTCAGCTTACATAATTCTGAATTTAGATAAATCGGAAGTTTTGTATGCGGAGGAAGGGAAGATATTTTTTTTTGGGTACTGATTACTGACTAAGAGTAAATTTTGCAAAAGTATTTTGTAACTTTTGCAAAACTATATTTACAAAGCGCGATCACAGGAGGTTTGTACTCCATATTATTAAACAGGTTGATAGGAAACTAAGCTAAGTGAAAAATATCAGTCGAAACATTATTACGGCTAGTCAATTATATCGGTATCGCAGCGAATGTTGGTATTTACCAGAATATCGAGTAGGATAAATTAAATAAAAGTAAGGTAAGTTAGATGTTACCTTTTATAAAATGTTTAGTATATATATAAATAAATTTTAAAAATTTTAATCAAAAATAGCAAATAAGTGCTATAAATGAATACCTACAAAAGTGCAGTGCAAAAAATCTTTAGGAAATATGAATTTACTTGAACTGGCACACGACCTGCATAAATATTTTTGAACTCGTATATTAAAAAATTTAAGAACTGCTTTCATTTGTCTTTAAGGTTTTATAAGATTCATAAATCGTTTTCAATATAATTTTTAGTTTATTTTATATTTAATTTTATTTTAATGTTTATTTTAAGTTTAAAATATATACAATAGTGCAATATGCATAGAAGCAATTATTTAATTATAACTAATATATTTTATTTCTAATCTCATTTACCAACACTTATTATCTACAAAGCAGATAATAGCTAAATTTCGTTTCAATTTCATTTCGTCGCACGTTGGAGCAAGTGCAGTAGAAACATAAGAACACAACATACAATTTGTATTCGTCGTCGCGTTAGGACGTACGTTCGATTTTTTCTGCATGCATTTTATTTATGAAAACTGTTTTATAAGTTTTTTTTATTGAAAAAACAAAGATTATCAAAACTTAAATAGTAGAAATACAAACTGTTTTAGTAAGTGAAAATTTATTTTCATTCATAACTGTAAATTGTTAATGTTCAAATGAAAACGAATTTTGTCGCGAAAGTAAAACGAAACATAATAAATCAAATACGATAAACTAGTTTAGTGAAAATTTTCGGAAAATGGTAATAATAATGAAAGTGTTTTTATCAATAAAGGAAAATTTACTTGTTTATTAACACCTAAATTATTATGTTTATTAGGAATTATCTGCACAAATAAGCGATTAGCGAAAGTTTGAAAAGTCAATAAATCCAACTCCGTACGCTAGTTTTATGTAAACGCAAAAGAATTTAACCCCCCGCACATCTGCTGTATTTCGAATTTGTTGTTGTTTTGAAATAAGAAAAATTTTAATTTATTATAATTAAAAATAAAGAATAAGTTTTTATAGTCAAGGATCTGCAGTTCTGTAGTTCTGCAGTCAAGGAAAATTTTACGTACACACACTTTGTGTGATAAAAATTATGCAAAATGAAAAGAATTAAGCAAAAAGCGTGAGTATACACAAATTCATGTAGCAAATAAAACATACGATAAAGATGAAGGCACAGAGAAGCGGTCGAAAGCGCACTCAGAAACTCAGAAGGAAAAGAACAGGTACTACCGCAAGCCGAAATTTGTGGGTTGTTGTAGTTGTTGTTGTAGCCACTGTTGTTGCGAAACAAACAAAAAAAAAGAAATAACATTGTAAGGGGCGGGCATACAGGGAGCCCCAACACAAATTTGCAATTAAAATAAAAATAAAATATAAATAATTTTGGAGATTTTTTTTTCCTTCTTAAATTAGTTTTTTGAAAAATGGTTTTGGTTTAGGAGTTGCAGTTATATTTCAACCATTGTTCTCTTTATTGATTGATTATTATTTTTGTCTAACATGTTTTCTGACACATACTAAATATTAAATATTTAAATATTTATTTATAGCATATGAAACATATTAGGCGAAAGACTAGAATTATCTTGCTGTGCTTAGATTCGAATTTAAGGTCAAACCAGTTTTGTTTGTTGCTTTGTGCCATTATTCCTTTTGTTTCGTTATCAGCAAAAAACAAAAAAAAAACAAAACAAGATATAAAATATTGGCAATGACTTTGAATTTGGCTCATTTGGGCTTTTCTTCAATTCTTCTATGCACAGCTTAGACGAATGACTGTTGTGTCTGCAGGTGACGTTCTTCCACTTAAAGAGAATTGATTGGCACTTGCGGTAATCGGTGCTTATCGGCGTTGACTTACTAATTATTCTGTTACCAATTGGAATGAAGTAGGAATTAGAACTTTAGTCTTAACGGATTTAGATCTTTTCAATAAGATTGCGAATAAAACAAAAAAAAAAACAAATCAGTCACAAAATCTTTATTTAATGAGTAATAAAAAAAAATTGAACCAGTTTTTATTCTTCACCCAAGAATTATATATTTTGCCCTAAACATATTTCCTATTAAGTCCCTCTCTTGATTTAGCAATGATCTGTTATATTTTTGTTTATTGTTGTTGTTTTCCGGAGCAGTTTTTCTCCAGAAAATTAGTCCTATTGGCTACAATTCTAAGAGTACTTTTATTTTCCTTTTGCGTTTTTTTTTCTTCCATTTTTTCTGCTGGTATTTTTATTGTTGTTGTAATATGATTAAATGAATATACATATTCCAAAAAATAAACATATAAATAATTAATATATGTACAAAATTAAATAAAGATAAAGTTAAGGTTTGAAATATAAAACTAATGTTGTTTTTATGGTTGTAAAATATGATTCCATTTATACAAAATAATGCTATTTGATATCACATTCGATGATCAATAACATATACAACTGTCCTTGTTATTGGAATTACTCTTCTTATATATGCGCAAGTGTGAATGTAAGTAAATATTAAGTTCGATGAAAATTTATTCTAAATATTTTTTTTTTTTTTAATTTTAAGCAATAAATAAAATACTTTTCTGATTATAATTAATTAAAATTATAATTAAAAAAAATAAAATGAATTTTTGTGGTTGTAGTTCACTGCTGTTCGAAGAAACCTACTAATTATAATTAAACAAATTTTTTAATTCTAATTATTGTAAAGAATTAAATCAATTATTTAATTCTTTATTAGTTATAACTAAATTATTAATTTTCATTTCGAATCTATCAATTTATAGAATTTAAAATGATATTATTATTAATTAGAAATAATTAATATTATAATTAATAATTTCTAATCTATTTTTAATTTGTTATATTCTTTATAATTGTCATTGAGATTATTTGAAATAATATATGGTATAATTATATAATATTATATATAGTGTTATAATACTAAAATAATGAGATTATAGTTCACACTTTTTTTTTTGAGGTTATATGCTTAGTAACATAAATTATATTCAATGTAACACAGAAGTTCTGCATTCCTGAAATTTTAACTTGTAGAATAATAGATATTCACATTATAAAAGAAAATTTGGAATATAGTGTACCGTAATGTCACTCAACTATTTATATTTACATTTTTGCTTTCTTTCTTTCATCTTTCCTCGCTATCCCTCTCTTCTTTTTCTCTTCTTTCTCCCTCTCTCTTTTCTCTCTTCCCTTTCTCTCTCCATTTTTCCTCTCTTTTCTCTCTCCATTTTTCCTCTCTTTTCTCTCTCTTCTTTATCTCTCTCTTCATTAACTCTCTTTTTCTCTTTTTTCTTGTCTCTCTCTTTTTTTTCTCTCTCTCTTTTCTTTCTCTTTTCTCTCTTCCTTTTCTCTCTCCATTTTCTCTCTGTTTCCCTTTCTATTTTCTCTCTTCTTTATCTCTCTCTTTTTTCTCTCTTTATTAACTCTCTATTTCTGTTTTCTCTCTCTCTCTCTCTCTCTCTCTATTTCTCTAGCTATTTAAATTCGTTTTTTCCCCTCTCTCTTCCTTATCTCTCTTATTTCTCACTCTTCTCTATTTCCTCTCTCTTCTTTATCTCTCTCTTTTTTCTTTCTTTATCAACTCTCTATTTCTCTTTTTTTTCTCTCTCTCTTTCTCTATCTATCTCTCTTCATTTTCTCCCCTCTCTCTTTCTTACTTCTCACTCTTCCTTCTTTCTCTCTCTCTTCTTTTTCCACTCTCTAGTCTTTCTGTCTCATTTTTCTCCGTTTTTTCTTTCTCCTTCTGTCGTCTTTCTGCTTTATTCTTCTTTCGTCCTCTCTGTTTCTTCGTTCTCTCCCTTTTTTCTGTCTTTTACTTTCTTCTTCTATACTCTCCCACTTTTCTTTAAAATCTCTTCCTTTTCTCATTGGCCTTCCTTTTCTATATCTTTGTCATTGACACAAAAGTTGCCAGTATTCTTAATAACCAAAGACCGCTTGCAATTTTCTTTACATTGTTTCTACAAATTTTGCTTATATTTGAGACTTGAAAAAGCTTTGGTGACTATCTCTCAGAATCAGAGCTTCAAGCATTATTTAAATTTGTAATATTCGAATTAGAGATTCAACTCTATTTGAAATCACCAGGGGGAAGAAGTGTATATGTGGCGTATAACTAGCCATATTAACCTACATCTTTTTACGAGCACTACCAATGATATCGCTGATAAGTTTTTATGTCCCAAAGCACACAGCAACTTCGCTCCGTTCTATTGAAAAGTCTATGTTTCTCAGTGTTCAGTAAGGTTAACTTTATTTAAAATCTCTCCTAAACCCAATCCACTCTTGCTCCCACCCCTTTCACATTTCCTCTAGCTTACCATATTCTAACCCATTTATATGTATTTATAATAAACTTCCGTATTATCTGTCCTATAGATCTCTGTGGTCTATAATAACTATAACATAGTTTTACATGCAAACTGACACAATTTCCCTTATAACGCTAATGTTTTCTGATAATAATTATCTGATAATAAATAAAATAAATATAAATAATATTAATTAAATTAATTTTATTTAAATTTGAAAATTTAGTTAAATATATTTCTATAATGCATTGGCTTAGCATAAATAAATAATAAACTTTCAACTTTCTTCAAATTAAATTTTTTATAAATTTTATGCCCACTTAGAAGAACAGAAAAATCGATATTAAATCCAAAAACAAAATGACATAAAATGAAGCAAAACTTCCCCAACAACAATAACAACAACAAACCACGGCCAACTAAGCAAAAGCGCCTATTTAAACTTAAATTTCATATTTAAATGTAAGCAAATAACAATAAAAAATTTGGCATACAAAAGAAAACAACGACAACAACAACAAAAACAATATAATAATAAAATGCAAAAACAAGTGCTTTGCTCATCACTTTTAAATGAAACAAATAAAATAAAAGCAATGCAGCAGTGCAGTGCAGTGGCAAGAACTAAGAAAATCAGTAATAAAAATGGCTTAAATGCAAATGCAAAGCACAAATATTAAAATGGAGCACATTAAGCTTAGTACATAAGATAACAACAACAACAAGAATATTACATTTCGTATTCTTTTTATTGTTGCTACTTTTAGGCTTAAAACTTACAATCACGCGGTTGCTACTGCTATTTTCTTTCTCCTTTTCTACTATGTATATATTAATATACAGTTTTGTATGTTTTTGTTTTTTTGTTGCAATAACAAACGTCAACAAACTTTTTTGATGCACTTGTATACATTGTTGTTGTTGTGTTGTGAACTCCATTTGTCTTTCTAACCTAAAATATTGTAATCAATATTAAATAAATAAATAAATAAATAAAATATTGTGACTAATAAAAATCATATGCAATAGTAAATTGGAAATTGGAAATCTCAAATGTAAACAGAAATATGTAAATTGCTTATTAACCTATTTTAGGCAAATATACAATAAATAAATTATTCAAGCACGCTACCCACAAAAAATTAGACAACTTTACTTATGAAAACATTTGCTATTAAATTAGTTAGTTAGGTCAGCAGCCTTTAAGTTGATCTAATGTTTAGATAGAAATATATATATATACATATATGTATATATACAATTTTGGAAAATACTAAAAATAAAAAATTTATTAACTTTGAAGAGGAATACTAATAAAAATTCTAAGAATATACAAAACTGACTCATGCATTGCTGTTTTTTATTCTTATTTTTAAATCAAAATTTAATAATAAATTTAAAAATTTTGATGTCAATGAAATAAA